AAATAAAATAAAATAAAATAAAATAAAATAAACTTGGTCAGCAAGATAGGCGTTCACATACCAAAGCAACTGCTTTTCTATTCGGTTGATACTTAAAACTGTGCGAACAAGTGCCTATGCTTGGGAAAAGATTCTTTTTTTGATACGTACGGATAATATGAATTCTTGAGGGCTGCCGAAAGGCACACTTACAGTGCTGCTGGTCGTCAACCAAGCAAGTCTGAATAATAATACTGATCCCAGTTGACTAGAGACAAGTGACAGAGCAGCATTAATTATCTTCCGGTTGTTTCCTCTCCTCAAAACCTTGCGTGGAGCAATAGCTGCAGTCTTGTGCATAGGCAGGAGGCCGGTCGAATATGGATGGTTGGCCACTCCCGTGTCTTCATCGTTTACCATAGCCAATCACGCATTCGAGCTTTGTCAGACTGTATGACATTCAAGCAGCTCCCTCGTCGGTAGAGCGAACTGGTGGGGATAGCTTTGGGGTTTTATTGACTAGGCCGGCACATAGCTTCCAGCTTCCATGAGTAACAGCGCAAGGCGGGAAGGTTTAAAGGCGACGTCATTCCGGAACGGCACAATCAGTCCTCGTCGTGGATGACAATACCAATCTCTTCCAGGTTGTTCGCATCAGCATTGCCATTGGCGGTGCGCCCTTCTTGGTGGTCATCCTCCTTCTGCTCCAGGGCCTTGTTGGGGCCCAATTTCTTCAGAGTTTGGCTTGCGCCATCCTGGCCGGTAGAGGCGATGCCTTCCATCTTCTCATCTTTCTTTCCTTTCCTCGCCTTGGCCTTTTCTCTGCGCGCCTTGTTTTTGTTCGTCTTCGCCTCATCTTTCTTCCTCATCTCCTCACGCTTCGCCTGAAATTCCTTGTTCTGCTCTTCCTTCTTTGTCTCTTCGTCCATCAGCCTCAGCCGCTCATACTCCCGGCGTCGCGAAGCCTTGTAGACATGGAATTCTCCAGAGCCGGCGCCTGCGGAGGAGCCTTGGACGTTGGCAACAATTTCGGGGGGTGGTGCAAGGGATTTCGCCTTGGGGCCCGAGGGGAGTTGAATTTCCCTGTCGGGGTTTGCGAAAAGGGCGTCGACTTGGTTTGCCTGGGCGGAGGCGGGGGTCAAGGCGCGTTTCTTGGTCGGGCGCTGACTGCGCGGGTCGGCACTGGTGGGAACGGACTCGGGGATGGGCTCCGACATGGTGTTGGTAATTGGAGGATGGTGATACGCAGAGTTGGTGTTGAGGCGCGGGGCTACGGGCGGCAGAACAAACACGCCGCAAGCGCATCACGTTTGAGGGGCTGCGGCGCTCTTTCGCAAGCCAGCAACCTTCAACATGGGCAAGCCACGGGCAAGTGCTCTTGATTCTCTCCTGCGCCCGCGCCGCCTCGACTGACCTCTCCCAGATGATCATCCTGATCCGCCACGCCCAGTCTGAGGGAAATAGGAATCGCGATATACACCAGTTCATCCCCGACCACCGCGTCAAGCTCACCGCCGAGGGATGGCTCCAGGCTGAAGAGGCCGGTCGCCGCCTCCGCACCATGCTCAGGCCCGACGACACTCTCCAGTTTTTCACCTCTCCCTACCGCCGCACTCGCGAGACGACTGAGGGCATCCTGCGCTCGCTAACCTCTGATTCCCCCACGCCGTCCCCCTTCCCGCGCCACCACATCAAGGTCTTTGAAGAACCCCGCCTGCGAGAGCAGGATTTTGGCAACTTCCAGCCATGCTCGGCGGAAATGGAGAGGATGTGGCAGGAGCGCGCCGACTACGGCCACTTCTTCTACCGCATCCCCAACGGCGAAAGTGCGGCAGACGCCTATGACAGAATCAGCGGCTTCAACGAAAGCATGTGGAGACTATTTGGTGAGGAGGACTTTCCTAGCGTCTGCGTGCTGGTGACGCACGGCCTAATGACTAGGGTTTTCCTCATGAAATGGTACGTTGTCTTGCCGCCCAAAGGCTTCGTGTGCCCCTCTTACCCCGTGGCAGGTACCATTGGTCCGTCGAGTATTTCGAGGACTTGCGTAATGTAAATCATTGCGAGTTTATCATCATGAAGCAGAACCCTGACAACGGTAAATATATCTTGCAAAACCAGCTGCGGACTTGGTCAGACCTCAAACGTCGCACAACTGCTACCAATGGTTCTACTGCTATAAGTATGACCGGGCCACCACCCCCCTTCGCTGCCTCTCCTACGATACCAGTACGCCGATGGGGTGGCTGTTCAAATGGCTGCAATCATGATCAAGTCAACTATCCCCGCCGAACCCGTCGCCAAAACACCCAGGATTTTGCTCCTCTTCCTGGGCCAGCTGTTCAAAATGAAACGAATAAGAAGTCCGATCACCCTGCGGATACTGATGCTCCCAGCGAGGTCTCAAGAGAACAGGATCAGAGTGGACAGTCTCAAGCAACAGAAACTATATCGGACGTCGAAACCCCTGGTCTACATATTACATCCGCAGGCGAAGGTTTCCACCGTCCCTCTACGCCTCACGCATCCCATATTCCGTTTAAGTATCATCTCCATCCCGGCCGAGATTTCGGAGGCTCCTGCTCCAGTGTCGTTGCCCCAGCTGAAGGGTTTTCGGATGACAGCGATTACTTTCCTGCTGGAATGGCTGCTAAATTTGGACCTGTGCCAAGGCCTCACTCAGCCCTCGCCGCTAGTAAGACAAGGTTCAAGCGCAGAACCCGGGATGAGCGTACTTGGAAAGAGGAAAGCGGTATGGGATCAGGAGCAAGGGCCGATGCTTTAGGTGATGGAGATAGTGGTGGCGATGACGAGGCGGACGATGATGATGATGAAGGGATGGGCTCTAGTGGTGGAGAGGAGATCGGGGAAGAAGGGGATGAACGAGTAGAAGAAGCAAAGCTGAAAAGCCGGCAGGGCTTTAGTGAAGTGTACTAAGACAACATCAGGGTCTGTTATTCACAGCTGCTGGGCAGCTCACATTTAAGGCGCCGGCGGGGGTCATGCCGGGCTAGATAGATACATACGATTCCCATGAAGCAATGATATGCATACATCACGAAAATAAAAGAGGATATTTGTGGCCAAAGACAATGTAAATCTTCTGGGTTTTGTAATTTTTATGGACATATCCCGTTGGTCTACTAGTCTGGATGTTCACTGAACGGATGCCCCAGGGCTAGTAGGTAAGAGACAAGAGAGGCTCAAGTATGTATGGGTAAAGCAGTTCTAGGTTTAATAAATGGCGTAATACCTCATTGGCGTATCAGATTCAACGGATGCACGTTAGGGTAGACTTCTGGGGCCCTGTCTCCGACGCAACACTGACAATACATCGGCGATGTAAAATAGCGTCTGAAGCGCAACAGTGACTTCCATATCTGAAGACTATTAAACATTCCTAACATTGAACATATGGAACATTCTTCTTAATTACCACATATTTCTCAGCTCATATATAGGTACCTATATAGGGTCAACGACTTTAGTATACCCTCGAAGTTGTTATCGGTCCTTTTTTATGCTAGCAACACATCTGCAACTACCAGGGATTCGAGAGTTTCATCTGCTTTGGTGGCTTGGCTAGGAAAGTTGAATGACATCGATTTCGTTCCTCGTATGATGCGAGTTATGAATGCTGTGCGGTCATGTGTTGAATCCGTCGACCAACAGTCACATTTGCAGGGGGAAAGAAATCAGGGCGTCCATTGCGATAAAGACGCGCAAAGATCCTGGAGGGTGAGTTGTTGATCGTCAGTGAAAATGAGGCTTACGAAGAACAAGCCATAATTTCCACCAGTAAGAGCTGTTACGAATAGACTTCTCCGTTGCAATTCTCAAGCAGCCACGCGACTCTTCGTCAGACTAGAAGTGAACAGAGGCACAGTCCACCGGTTTAGCGTCCAGTAAACATCTTCTGGAAAGATGCATCGTAATGCTCCACTACCATTTCCGTGGTTTCACGTTTGAATGGCAATCGGGCTAGGTGCCACAGAGTCAAAACTCTAATTTGCTGCATCTGAAGAGGTTGATCTAGGCAGCAGCTCCATCGTTGAGTGACCATCCTTTCTGTGTGCCAACTGGGTGTAATTTGACAGGAAAAGTAGCAGTTCGCTGTCAATATTGGCCACCAAAAGTCCCATGGTTGCTGTGATCCGCAACAGCGGTGACTTGGGGGCCTGGCCAAGATCCGTGGAGGGGTCATGGTTTGTCTTTGTGGACCTGCGGCGTGGATATGCAGCTAAGCCGGATTTTGCTGACAGGTGCGCGGCTGTCCTATGGCAGAGTGAGTAGGGAAAGGCTACCCGTTCCATCTATGCAACTGGTGATATGGATCGAGTTAAGTGAAAGCAAAAGAAAAAAAGGGAAAGGCGAAACATTACATCTGGCCCACCGCCATTATCGAACAACGGCCAGGTTTCAGCCAACACTGACGAGGATTTCTCAAGCCATTGAGGAGCTGCTATCCATCTTTTGCGGCACGTTCCTATCGTGCAATCTCGGTTGAACAATCATCATTACCAACATAAAATCCCTGGCAGGATATCGTCAATACTGAGGCTTGAAGGTAGGGAAAGGAGAATTGGATTTTGATGGCACGAGGTTCGAACAGCAAACACCGCAGATGAGGTGCAGCAGGCGGAGACATCGACCGAGATTTGCGGTGGCAACATCCTTTTTAATGTTCTGTTCTGCAGCAGTAAGGACAACGCAGCAATGATGTGGCCAGCAACATATGTAGTACAAGGAGCCATCGTAAGGCAACCCGGGTACAACGTAAGGCAACAAATTCACAACAGTGAGCCCAAGTGTTGGTCGTCGGAGTTGGTTGGACAATGGTTGGAGGCGTCGGGCAAGGCGGATAAAAGTGAGGCGTCAAGGTGCCCAACTGGAGTACGTGGGATGTAGCAGCCGCCTCCTTTGGACATCTTCGGCAGCCATAGGTCAATGGATCTCGCAGTCTCGCGACTCATTTGCGAAATCCAAGACTCGGCTTCCTTGATATTTAAAGAGCAGCCCCGATTCGGAGGTTGGTAGGCCACCTTCTGAACAAGCGACTGCATCTTCTACAGGCTGGTACTGTACGCCCGATACGAATCCTGGCATCTAGCGCTGCTATTTGTCAACCAATACGCCCAGCTCTTGATCCATGATGCCTGGCATGGCTACTTCGCTCAATAGCTATTTCGTCCCTGGATATGGTATCTCTAGAGCGGTCATCCAAGGCGAAATCCGGTACCATTGCGGTCCTGATGCAATAGTTAGACCGTTCACACACCAAGTAAGCCGTTTGAACCTAGGTCTTGGATAAACAAACTAATTTGATCGATAGGGTCGAGATGGCTTTCTTGTCACCACGGCTGGTCCTCCCCTGACGAAAGTATGTCCAGTCTATGCAACCTGAAAAACATCTAAGGTAGAACAAAACCTAATCACTTATTCTCAGGCACAGATCCAAGACATCAAAGATGCTTCAAGGGAGTACGAAGAAAGGCAGGCCCAGCGTGCTTGTGATGAAAAAGAAACATTCATGAACCGACCAGTACCCGTCAGTCCGCGTAGTCGGAAAAGCTTTTAAGCGAGTTTATCTACTTCGTAGGCGTGGTTTCAGCGAGGAGTTTAGCACGGTTGAAGCTTAGAGTTTTATTAAAGAATTAAAGAACACTTAAGTATTTTTAAATACGTTTATCTATAATATTACTAGAGATTATAAGTTTAATAAAGTTTATAAGAATTATAATTACTTACCTTAATATAAAAATAAACTACAAAAAGAATTACTATTAGCTTCTAAATATAAAAGTTAAAGTTAAAGAATAAACTTAAATAAATTTATTTATATAATAACATACTATTAAAAAATTATATAAAACCTATAGAAAAATAGATATAAAACTTATAGTATTTATATGAGTAGCTAATAATTATATCTAGTATATTTAGATATATATTAGTATCTTATTTATTAGTAATACAATAGAGAAAAATAAAAATATTGTAAGTTACAAATTAAATAATTTAAAACTCTAAATAGATCTAATAACAATAAAAACGGCTATTTACTAAGATATATATATATATCTTAGAATTTTTCGCAATATATATAGTAATTTATTATAAAAAAAAATATAAATATATCTTAGAAATTTTTTTTAAGAATATATTTCGCTTTTTTCTTAAAGAATATATTCTTTCTTTAAAAAAAGAATATATAGCTATTTACTAAGATATATATAATATTTCTGAGATATTTTTTTTTAATATTTCTATATATTTCGACATATTATAATATATTATAAAAGTATATATCTTAGAAACAAAATTAAAAAATATGTATATCTTAGAAATTATTTTTCTTAGGAATACATTTCGCTTTTTTTTTAAGAGTAAATTTCGCCTTTTTTAAGGATATATTTTGATTTTTTTTTAAGAATATATTTCGCTTTCTTAAGAATATATTTCGCTTTTTTTAAGAATATTTTTTTAAAGTATATTTCGCTTTTTTTTTAAAAAAAAAAAAGAATATATTTTCTAAAAATCTATTCCAATTTTTTAAGAATATTCTTTACAAGAATGTTCTCTTTAAATATGTTTATTATCCAAGAATATATTTTTTTAAATTTATATTTCTGAAATATAAAAATATTTCGAATTTTTTTCTAATATATATATATATATATTAAATGTATTTCTAAGATACATAAATTTAGTAAAAACATACTATACATATAGTGTAAAACTTTAAGATATATATATTTATATATTTTAGAAATACTATATATGTCTTAGAAATTATACGAAAAAAATTATATATCTTAGTAAATAGCCGTATTAAAAAAGTCTCTCTAAGATATAAATATATATATATATATATATTAAAGTATTTCTAAATATTCTTAAACAAAAGCGAGATATATTATTTAAAAAAAAAACGAAATATATCTTAGAAAATGTTTTTTTTAAAAAAAAAATTCTTCTTTTTCTTTGAAGAATAAATTTTACTTTTTTTTTTTAAGAAAATATTTTACTTTTATTTAAAAAAAATATTTCGCTTTTTTCAGAGTGTATTCTTTAAAAAAAATACTTTTGAAAAAGAACAAATATACTAGTAACAAAAAAAGAAGAATATGTCTTTTAAAAAGAAAAGCAAACTATATTTTTAAAGTAAAGTAAAGTAAGTATTTTTAAAAAGATTTTTTTTTTTTTTAAAAAAAAGTAAAATATAACCTTTAAAAAAGTAATATTTATTCCTCGGCTATTTACTAAGATATATATGTTTTTTCGAGTATTTTCCGAGATTTATATATTATTTCTAAGATATATATATATATCTTTGAATGTTTCACAGTATATACGGTAATTTATTATATATAATTTATTTTTTTTTAAAAAAAAATATTCATATATCTTAGAGAGACTTTTTCGATTTATATATCTTAAAAATAGTATATATATTATAGAAAATATGCGAAAAAATATATATATCTTAGTAAATAGCTAGTTTTATTAAGAAATAAGCCTCATTTACTATTCTATATTAGAAATAGAGACTATCTAGTATTGAGACTATTTAAATAAGCTAGTATATCTTCTTAAATAAAAAAAAGGCGAAAATAAGAGTATTTTTATTTTTATTTTTTTTTTAAAAAAAAAAATAGGAGTATATTATTTTCTTCTAAAAAAAAAAGCGAGAATAAGATTATATTTATTAAAAAAAAGGACTTACGATAAATAGTTCGATACTAAATTTTTACTAGGTATATTTAGTAGATCTTATATTTATAGAAAATACTATATAGATTCGATCTTACTACTTTTCTATATAGTATAACTAAATTTAATTTATTATATAAAGAATAGATAATTAGCTATTTCTAAGATGTTTAACGTAAATTAAATAAATCTATAATATTCTTTTAGTATCTAAATTTTTAACTAAGTATTTATAGGAGTTTTACGAATATAGTCTATAGCTAGGAGGGAGATTTATATAATTTATAAAAAAATTCTATTAAAGACTTATTACGGCTATTTACCGAGATACATATTTTTTTTATAAAATTTATAAAATATATATATAATTTCCAAGATATATATAATTTTCGGTTTTATTTCTAGGATAAATATTTTTTTAAAAAATATTTCTATATATTAAAATATATTAAAATATATTATAGAAATATATATCTTAGAAATTATATATGTATCTTAGAAATTAATTTTAAAAATATGTGTATCTTAGAAATTATTTTTCTTAGGAATATCTTTAATTTTTTATGAATATATTTTACTTTTTATATGAATATATTTCGCTTTTTTTTAGAGTACATTTCGCTTTTTTTTTTAATAAAAAAAGAATATATTTTCTAAGAATCTATTTCTATTTTTTAAGAATATTCTTTCAAAGAATATTTATTTTTTAAAAATATATTTATCTAAGATACATAAGTATTCTTATATATTTCGCTTATAAATTGATATATTATAGTAAATTAAAAAAAATGAGTATATCTTAGAAAAAAAATCGAAAAATATATATATTTTTAAAAATAATATATCTTAGAAATATTTTTTTAGAAAATATGTTCTTAAGAAAGTAAATATACTCTTCAGAAAATTGGCTATACTCTTAAAAAATTTAAATATATTCTTAAAATAAAATAAAATATATTCTTAAAAAAATCGAATATACTCTTAAAAAAAATATAGTCTTAGAGAGACTTTTTTATTATATATATCTTAGAAATACTATATATATCTTAGAAATTCTATAAAAAAGATATATATCTTAGTAAATAGGCGTAATATTTATTAAATTATACTCGCGTAAATTTAATATAGCTACCTCTAAAAACGTATCTTAAGAAAGAAATATATACCTATTTATTAGATATATTAGTATTTTTTTCTTTAGAAAATATACTCCTATTTTTTTTTTAAGAAAATATACTTCTATTTTTTTTAAAAAAAATACTCTTATTTTCCCTTTTTTCAAAATATATTTCTAAATAATTGTTTTTTAAAATAATTAAACTCGCTAGAATTTTCTTATTTCTAAATTTCTTTTAAACTCAGTAAGGCCTCTAGTTCTTTTTCTTATAGTTCTTTAAGTTTTTTTTTTTAAAAAAAAAAGGCTGTAAAATAGTTAGTATATTTAACTAAAAATATACTTTTAATAAAAAAATAATATCTAATTTTTTAAATTATTTCTTTTAGTCGCCCTAAATATTTAAAGAAATAAAATCTTAAGCTCTCTAAGCTACCTAATATAGAATGTTTTTTCTATATAAAATTCGCTTATTTAATCGAATTTATACTAGGCAAATTACTAGGTTATCTAAAATAAATTCCTAGCTATAAGAAGTTAGAATCTTAGTTAAATTTAAATATCTCTAATTTTCGTAAGTAGATTAAGGATATGTACAATTTATAAGCCGTTTAATAATAAAAAGATCTAATAAATATTAATATATTTTAGAAAAAAAATCGAAAATAAGAGAAATAGGAGTATGTTTTCTTTTAAAAAAAAATAAAGCAAAAATAATAGAAAAAAAAAGTATATTTTCTCTTAAAAAAAAAGAAATAGGAGTATATTTTCTTTTAAAAAAAAGAAATAGGAGTATATCTTTTTTTTAAAAAATAATAATAATAAGAAAATACTCCTTGAAAATATTAAAAATAGGAGTTTTTTTTTTAAAAAAATAATAATAAAAATATCCTTTTCTTTTCTAAGATATATATTTTTTTAAAGTTTATTTCTAAGATATATACTTTTTCTTAATATATTTCTAATATATATATATATTTCGATTTTCTTTCTAGTATATTAAATATATATATATCTTAGTAAATAGCCGATTTAGGGATTTAAGAATCTAAGAATCTAAGGATTTAATTACGGCTATTTACTAAGGTATATATTTTTTTTCGTAAAATTTCTAAGATATATATAATACTTCTAAGATGTTTAAATATATATATCTTAGAGTTTTACACTATATATATAGTATTTTATTACTAAAAATATATATTTTAGAAATTAAACTCAAAAATATATGTATCTTAGAAATTTATATTAAAAAATATATATTTTCAAAAAAGCAAATATCCTCTTAAAACATTTAAATATCCTCTTAAAAAATTTAAATATATTCTTAAAAAAAAAAATCGAATATATTCCTAAAAATAATCGAATATACTCTTAAAAAAAACCGAATATATTCTTAAAAAAAAGTAGTCTTAAAAAAAAAGCGAAATATACCCTTAATAAATTCTAAAAAAAATTAAATAGAATACCTAAACGCCTAAAAGTAGAACTATATAAAATTAATCTCTTCTTCTTCTTCTTCCTACGACTACGACCTAAATATAAGCTAGGAAAGCGTTATAACTTAGGAATTAGGCTAATTCTCTATAGCCGAATTTTTAGAGAAACCTTAAAATTCTTCTAAATTTTCTAAAGAATTCGAATTTTCTTTAGCTATTTTAGAAGAACTTAAATTTTATCTCCTTATTCTCCTAAAATTCGATCTTCTAAGATTAGTTCTATGCTAATTAAAAGATTCCTAGCGTTGCCTTTTAGCTAGGCGATTATAGCGACTAGCTACTATTTCTTTTTATAGGCGTTTAGTAGGAGGTCGCCCTAGCCTTTTCTTTCTAGTATAGAGGCGTAGCCTTTATATACCCTAAACTATAGCGAGGATATCGAGTAGGGGCAGTAGATCTAGTAGTAGTAGTATAACTACCCTAAGAGGCTTAGCAGCTCTAATAGCTGGTTTAGAGGCGTAGGGCCACGAAGAACGGTTCCTATAGGATGATAAAGACGAATCTATAGAGATAGAAAGCTAACTAAAGATAAAGTAGTAAATAGAAGATAGTTATTAATTATTATCTACCTACTACTAGCTCGAAGTTATGCTACGAACGACCTACTAGCGAAGAATACGTAAAAAACTAAAGAGTAGTTAGCTCTGCTATACTAGTACTATTTTTATTAAGCTAGGTATCGTTAGATTTTAGCTAATTAAAGAGTACTAGAGAAAGAAATCTTTTAGGGTAATAGATTACCCTATAAGAATTAATTTCTAGCTAAAATCGATTAAATCTTTAGGATCTAGTTCTAAAGTAGTAGCTAGAGCGTAAGTATATAGATAGGGAAGCTTATATTCTATAAAAACTTTATAAGAATATTTATAAGAAATTACGAATTTTTTAAAGAAATAAGCCTAATTTACTATTCTCTATTAGAAATAAAGACTATCTAGTATCGAGACTATTAAATAAATTAGTATATTCTCTTAAAAAAAAATAAAAAAATAAAAAAGAAAGAAAGAAAGAAACAGGAGTATATTTTCTTTAAAAAAAAAAGAAATAAAAAAAAGAAATAGGAGTATATCTTCTTTTAAAAAAAAAGTAAAGATATGCCTTTCTTTTTTAAGATATATATCTTAAATAGATAGCTATTTGCTACTAGATTACGGTAAATATAGTATAATATTTTTAAATAAAAAAAGAAAGAAAGTTCCTAGTATTTATATCCTATTATTAGGTGCCTATCTAATTAAACTATAAAATTAATCGCATATTTTAAGTTCTAGAGTATAGATCCTAATTAAACTAAATATTTTTTTTTATAAATTCTAAGTTTTAAGAATCTAAACTTAATTAAATTAGATAACAATAGCGTAATCCTAATAAATAATTTTTTTTTAAGAATATATTCGTTTTTTTAAGAAGATATTTATTATTTGTAGCAATATGTTTTTTTTTTTAAAAAAAATATTACTAAGATATATAGTTTTTTTTCGAACTAATTTCTAAGATACACGCTTTTTTTCCGCTAAATTTCTAAGATACACATATTTTTCGATTTTTTTTTTCTGAGATACACATGTTTTCTATAATATACTATAATATATATATTTATAAGCGAGATATATAAAAAAAGTGTATATCTCAGAGAGACTTTTTCGATATGTATATCTCAGAAATACTATGTGTATCTCAGAAATTTTACGAAAAAAAAAATATGTATCTCAGTAAATAGCCGATTTAATTAATTAAAATTATCTAATTATCTTTATTATAATAAAAGCGATTGAATATATACACTATTATAAATATAGGTAATCTAATTTACTACTCTACCCTATTTCTTATTTATAGATTAGAGTAATCAAATCTAGATTATTTAATATAATTTTTAAGAAAAATTCGTGATATTAGAACTTAATACACTGAATAATTTATTTATTTATTTATTTTTATTTTATTTTATTTTATTTTTTTTTTTTTTTTTAAAAAAAAAAAAGAATAGTATACAGTTCTCTAATTAATAATTAAGGGTTTTAAGGTCTAATCTAACTCTTACTTTCTTCTATCTACCTACTAAGCGATTGCTTGTACTCTACTGATACATCATAGCCTATAAAGAAAAACCGGAGACTATTGTTTTAGCAATTCATCTTGCTCCGCCTTGGTAATACCAAGCAAGTATAGCACATTAAGAAGGCTCTCCTGGTTCAGACGTGCAGGGGCTTCCATTTGAACCCTTGCCTTCGCATTGAACGCTACTCCAAGACCGGCTATGCCCATCATTGGTAAATCGTTTGCGCCATCACCTACGACCAAAACTTGCTCCAGCAGTATCCCCTCCTTCTCGGCAATCTCACGGACGTGCTGGCGCTTCCTCTCGGCATGCACAATCTCTCCCGTCAACTCGCCCGTCAACGACTGACCGTCTTCGCTGACAACAAGATGGTTGGCGAAAGCATAGTCAAGGCCCAACTGTTGGGCGAACCACCCTGTGACCGGAGTAAAGCCACCACTTAACACCGCAGTTTTGTAACCCAATCTCTTCAACGCGCGCACTAGATCCACGGCTCCAGGCGTAGGAGAGATAAGCTTCCTGATGTTCTCCCAGACGGTGACAGGTACACCGGCAAGCAGACCGCAGCGTTTCCGGAGCGAAGCCTCGAAATCAAGCTCCCCATTCATGGCAGCAGCCGTGATGGCAGAAACAGCGTCCTCAACGCCAATGTGACGGGCAATCTCGTCAATGACTTCTTGCTGAATGAGAGTCGAATCCATGTCAAAGACGGCAAGGCGCTTGTGTCGCCGGTATACGCCCTCGTGCTGAAAGACGGCCTCGACGCTCCATTCACGCTCAAAGCGTGAGACAATCTCGTCCTTGCGGAGAGCCTCCAGGGACGTGGGAGAAGGGAGAGCGAAGGTAATCTCCATAACGCGCGGCCAGCGCTCGGAGTCGAGGGCTTTCTGGACGACGGTGTTTTCGTGGAAGCCAGGCAAGGCATTGCTCAGGGTCAGGAAGAAGTCGGTAAGACAGCTTTGGGAGATGTAAGCGCCATAGAGGTTGTCGAGAGGGTTGGGGCCCGGCGTGGGAGGCTCGAGAGGGTAGTTTTTCAGATCATCGGTGGGCACGACGCCTGCCGGGGGGTGGTCGGGATGGGCTTTGTAGAACAAGGTGCAGGCGACACGCTGGGGGGTGGCCAATGGCGCAGTCATGGTTGTGTGTTGTATGCAGGAAGTTGTGGCGGCGTGCCAGACAATCAATTTTTGGTTCTGATCTGACGCCGAGCTAGGCCTTGGCGGGAGAGCGACATTTATAGGTAACGTCAAACGGATGACTCATGGCGTTTATTTAGCTCTAACTATTCAGCTGTTTTGTCCTGGGAGGAGGCTGGGATACAAAGTATATAACTAGTGGCGCTATCCCACCTCCCCAATGCATCCATCCGTGTACCTCTAGTTTACGTGTAACTATGGCCGCTTCCATCCAGCAGACGATCCGCCAGTCGCCGCCCGTCGACCTCTCCCGGCCCTACGATGCTCGTTGGCTCCACGACAGGCACATCCTGATCACCGGTGGTGCCAGCGGCTTCGGTGCAGGCTTCGTCCGCCGGTGGGCCGCCAGCGGCGCTTCGGTCGTCCTAGGCGATGTCGACGCCGACAAGGGCGAACAGCTGGCCAGCAGCCTGCGGCAAGAACTAGGGAATGCAAATATTCACTTTGTCCACTGCGATGTCACCGACTGGCAGTCGCAGGTCAATCTCTTCAAGCAGGCTGTCAAGCTCAGTCCTCACGGCGGCATAGATACCGTCGTAGCAAACGCTGGCATAGCAGGTGCTGACCAGCTGGTAACCCCGGGAGACATGAGCGCCGACGAGCCACCTGAGCCAAACCTCAAGGTCACCGACGTAAATTTTTATGGAGTGCTCTACACAACGCATCTGGCCTTCTACTACCTCCCGAGGAACCCGGGCTCAAGCCCATCCGATCCCAACACCGACCCCTCGAATACCACTCGGGACCGCCATCTCCTTCTCCTAGGCTCAATGGCTTCGCTGGCCCCAATAGCCATCCTGCCCCAGTATGGAGCGGCAAAGCACGCCGTACTGGGCCTGTTTCGTTCACTGCGCACTTCGTCTTTTGTGCAGGGCGTGCGCGTTAACATGATCCTGCCTTACTTCGTTGACACGCCAATGCTCTCTGGAGTAGCCAAGACCATACTCGCAGGAAACGGCTTAGGAAAAGCCGACGACGTAGTCGATGCCGGAACGCGATTTACTGCAGATTCCAGTATCTGCGGAAGGGCGCTGGTCGTGGGACCGCCGGTCAAGGCGATGAGGACAGAAGATGGACAGCTTAGGCCGGTCGTGGGCGACGATACGGCTGATGGCACAGAAACAGGCATCTGGGAATGCTATGCCGACGACTTTGAGGAAACGGAGGTGTGGACGAGGCGATGGGTCGCCGTTTTGAATCAGCTGGAAAGGGCGATAGGGTGGAGTGGATGGGCGAAAGACATGGCCAAGACTGTCCTGAGCGCGTGGAGAGGAAGATGAATACCCGCTTTCCCGGGAGACAGAGACAGCAGTGTACGTGGTATCATCTTGGCATCATAAATGAAGCGGCAACATCATCACGCATTAGCGCCCGAACGCTAAATTATGTTCGGCTGCCTATTTGGGTCGAGCGTCGCCCGATATGGTTCGTGCTTGGGGCCGAGAAGCCGAAGCTAGAGCCTCCATTCCGTGCTGTCATGCACATCATTCACCTTTATAATGTCCATCGCACTCCGGACTCCCTTTTGGGACCCGCTGCTCCAGCAATACCTTCATCATGATGGCCGCACATCAAGGAAGCCCCATTCTGGTTGATGATGAAGGAAAGCCAATCTTCCCCTCCACCATCCCACCTGAAACTGAAGCCATACAACCTCTGCCGGGTACCGGGTCTGCTGAACAACATAAACATCGCCTACGAGCCGAGAAGCCCGCAGCTGCTGAGGGTCCTTGTTTTTCTCAAATGAGCTCTGGAAGTCGGACTAAACCAGGCCATGCATCACTATCTGCCAACAAAAGAGAGACAAACGACCGGATGTATACACAGACCAACAGCAATCGGCCGCACATCTACGACTCTGAAAGCACGAGCACGAGTTCGTCTTCTTCGACAGTTGAAGAAGTACCCGAGACAAATTCGCCATTTGGACATCGCTCTTCACGCCGGCCCAGACGGAGAAGACCAGAACACCAAGACCAGCAAAGCAGTCAAATGGATTCCAATCACAACCCGTACTCCAAGTTTTTCACTGAAAATAAACACTTTAGAACAAAAGGCAAGGTTTCGAAACGAGACGGACGTTTGAAGATATCTCTTAATGAGATCACGAATCACGGGTTCTTGGCAAACGCACTGGGACCCGGCATTGGCCATAACCTTGGTGGCCGTAGGGAAGTTGGAGAAAATGATGCACGTACAAACAGAAAAGAACAGTCCAAATCCGTAAAAGGTGACCAAAAGATGGACCTGGAGCTTTTTAACGTGGACAATACGCAGGTACCTCGTTTAAATATTGTTGTGATGGTAATCGGTTCGCGAGGAGATATACAACCGTTCATCAGAATCGGTAAGATTTTACAAGATCAACATGGACATCGCGTCAGGATTGCCACCCATCCAGCATTTAAAGAATTTGTTGAAAAAGATTCGGGTTTGGAGTTTTTCTCTGTGGGAGGTGACCCGTGGGAGCTCATGGCTTTCGTGGTCAAAAATCCTGGTTTGATCCCATCTGTGGAGACGATCAAAAAGGGAGAGGTTGGAAGAAGAAGAGCTGCCATGTCTAAGATGTTCGAAGGCATGTGGAGAGCTTGCATCAATGCTACAGACGACGAGCGTGACAAGGAGAACATGAAGATGAGTAAGCCTTACCAGCCATATGTGTAACACAACTACAGTTGACAAACATTAACCTTGAACTAGTGGATGATAAGAAATATTTTGTTGCTGACGCAATTATTGCGAACCCTCCAAGTTTCGCTCATGTGCATATAGCAGAGCGGCTCCAAATCCCACTTCACCTGATGTTTACATTCCCATATACGCCTACCCAGCACTTTCCGCACCCCCTAGCGAACATAAGAAGAAGCAATGTCGACACAAATTACACAAATTTCATGAGCTATCCACTCGTTGAAATGATGACGTGGCAGGGCCTTGGGGAGCTGGTCAACAAGTTTAGAACCCAGACATTGGGCCTGGAACCAGTGAGCACCCTTTGGGCACCTGGTCAATTGAGTCGGCTGAGAGTACCTTACACCTATATGGTGAGTCATGAGAATATATCCCTACGGAACTCAAGGATTGCGACTAACCATGAGATAGTGGTCTCCGAGCCTTGTACCGAAGCCAGAGGATTAGGGTCCGGAGATAGACGTCGCTGGATTCGTATTTCTTGAGCTTGCTTCTTCCTTCAATCCCCCCGAAAGCTTAGTAAATTTTCTGGATGCCGGGCCGCCACCGATTTATATAGGATTTGGCAGCATCGTTGTGGATGATCCGGAAAGTTTCACAAAAATGGTTTTCGAAGCAGTTCAAATGGCTGGTGTTCGAGCCTTGGTGAGTAAGGGATGGAGTGGCATTGGCGGAAAGGATGATGCACCGGAGAGCATCTACCTACTGGACAACACCCCGCACGATTGGTTATTCCCTCGTGTCAGCGCCGTGGTCCACCATGGCGGTGCGGGTACAACGGCAATTGGTTTAAAATGTGGAAAGCCCACCATGGTTGTTCCGTTTTTCGGCGACCAGCCGTTCTGGGGTGCAATGGTTGCTAGCGCAAAAGCTGGCGCCCATGATTGTACTCCATATAAGCAACTAACTGCCGATCAGCTCGCTGAAGGGATTAGACAGTGCCTGTCCGACGAAGAGAGAGAAAACGCCGGTAAGATTGCAAAAAGCATCGCAGATGAAGGAGACGGCGCCGCCAATGCCGTCAAGTCATTCCACAGAAGCCTACCACTTCGTGGGGAGAAATCTCTACGCTGCTCGATTCTGGAGGACCGCGTAGCTGCTTGGCATCTCAAGGACTCCAGCTTAAGACTAAGCCCTCGTGCTGCCGAGGTCTTGGTCAGACAACATAAAATCAAATGGGGCAATCTTCGACTGGCAAGAACCTATGGTTGGAACGACTTTGAGGGCCTTGGGGAACCAATCACTGGCATCGGGAGTGCACTGAGCGGTACTATAAAAGGTGCCGCAACCGGGATTGGGCCAGTACCTAAAAACGTAGTCAAACGTATCAAGAAGAGAGAGAACCACAAAAGGAAGAGGGTGATACGAATGGAGAAGAGCGGACGAGAACGTGGCAAAGCAGATTGGATATCAGGAGGGAGGAACGAAACTCCTGACGGTAATGACGATGGACATGCTTACGATAGAAAAGAACGCTCCAAATCTCCACAAAGGGGCACTGAAACATCCGCTCTATCAGCAGATCCGTTAAAAACCGTATTAAAGGAGATCGGGCGGGAGACAGGCCAAGGTTTCGCGGAGACCGGAGCATCAATTGCTAAAGCACCAATGGACCTCGCCCTGGCTCTCGCCCAAGGCTTTCACAATGTGCCGCGTCTCTACGGTGACGAAAGCGTTCGACGGCCTGTCCGGATATCAGGATTTTACTCCGGCCTTCGCGCCAGTCGCGACGAGTTTATCTTTGGCATCTACGATAGCTGGACGGGTCTTTACAAGCAGCCGTATCACGGCGCTAAAGAAGACGGAGCATTTGGTTTTGCCAAAGGGATTGGGATGGGTGTGGCCGGATTTGTCCTGAAGGATATAGCTGCCATCCTTGGTCCTGTAGGTTATACTGCCAAAGGCATCCACAAAGAGTTACGGAAGAAGCCTCAGCCCACGTATGCCATTCGTAAGACTCGCATTACTCAGGGCCGCAACGACTTTGAGGAACTCGGAGAAAACCAGGATGCGGTGAGAAAGACGGAAAAGAAAGTCTCTCGCGGCTGGGAAATTACGCAGGACGTCCTCGCATTCGAGCGCAGCCGCACGCGTGGGTTGGGGGGCTCGATAATCCGTCACCGTGGCCGCAAAAAGTGGCAAGAGGCCGGTGCAACAGACAACGTAGTGGCAGCCGAGAAAGCGTTGGCCGCACGGAAACGTGGAGAAGACCTCGACTCGGCGTTACAGAAGGAGCGGGAAGAGGTTGAGCTTGCAGGCGAACCGCGTGCAGGCGCCATGGGCCCGAAAGCGGAGGATGAAGACCAGAAGGAGGAGTTGCCGAATGGCAAGTTCATGAGCGGTCCGGGGCAGGAACGGGAGTTAGGCTAGAAATACCTATGGTCGTGTGACAACGCTTTTCTCAGCACATATACCAAATACACAACCTCACTCGATAAAAAATAAGCACTGTTAATTGCGTTAAGCAGACCTGTCTATTCAACTGGACTCGTTGTCCTCTTAGCGCTTCGCAAAAGGGTTCCTAAAGAATCTTAGCAACGTGTTTCAAGTCGAGTGCTACGATGCGAGTCTTACCTGACGACACGCCAGGAAAGTTATGTCTTCTCTAGGCATGTTCCCTTGACAAGCACCAACAGACGGACCCGAAAGCTCCCATGGCTGCGTCATTGATCATAATCTGGCTAGCCCAACTCTTTCAGAAGGGGAAGACCTTGGGGTGTCCCTCAATACCAAGGCGTATCTCTTATGTAGCATGACCCACGCTAGGGCCCTGCTGTCCGAAGGCCTGGATTGTGTTTTTGGCCTTGTTGATTTCCTCAATCTGCCGGTTGAACTCAATTGGCACACCCGTGGCTTGCTGCAGACTTCGGCCCTCTTTTACTCGCTGAACTTCTTCGAACTGGAAGTAAAATGGGTCTTCAATGAGCTTGGTCCGTGAGAGTGAGGTTTGGCGTGATGGATCCGAAGGTGTGGCTTGAATTGGGCTTTTGCTGCCCTCGGAACGCACGATGCGTGGTGTGGTCCCACTTGACGCATTGGAAATTCGGGATAAGTCGTCAACCATGTTTGTAGGAGGCTTTGCTTCGACTTGCGAAATTGTTGGTTGGTCCAAGAAGGCCCCGCTCTCAATCGACGAATCTGGAAGTGAATCGTTGGAATGGCGCGTCTCGGTGGACATTGCGAGGAGCTTCGAGCACCTATCGGAGCCAAGGAAAAAACAGTGTAGTTTTTGAGGTGAGGATTGTAGAGAGGGATCAAGGTGTCAAAGACACGCCTTATGAATGATAGACAGCCATTAAGCTTGCCATGTGACTGCGGGAAAAGCGGTGTCGACGGCGACGAGGAACTGAATCACGAAGACGTGTTCATAGACACGTGGCTCTCTGGCCACTGTGCTTGTACTAAAAGGGGGGATTGGTTTGTGATGTGAAGCAAAAGGGGTGAAATACGAGCGGACCGGGTAAGTAAATTGTATACAGTCAAGATTAACGACATCATTTGAGCTGGTTAGTAACTTCACTGTCGAAAAAGCGTTCATCGCTACACCGAGCCAGACTTTGTATGGCAACTTACACACACCTTTTACTATTATGGAAGGGTAAACGTTGTAAACGTCAATGACGAAAGAGAATCGACCTATATATAACAGGTGCCCTTCCAAACACCATGAAAAGTTCGCGGTTTAATACTATCGAATGGCATCGGGGTATAGCCACCCGAAAGTCAGGTGCATGAAACAAAACTTTTGATGGAATTCTTATCTAATTTTCATCTTGCGGATTAGATCATTAAATATTCCAATGCTTCTATCATAGCTCATTGCTGGCTTAGCATCATTGAACTCCGTAAGTCGTAAAAATAATACAATATCCCAAAGACTCATTAGGTTTTTTCGAATAAAGTCTTGTGCTCCAAGAGGCCTGTTTCCCATCCAACCTATTAGATAGTAAATGTACTGTTTTAAACCTGGCTCATGGCAGGAGGTCCACGACGAATGCCTCCGCGCATGTTGACGCTGCCACGGCTCTGCAAGAATGAGAAGACAGAAGAGGCTGCGAAGGCCGCGAAACCGAACCACAAGAAGGCAGTGGAGGCTTGAGCCTCGCGACAACGCCCCTCCTTGTCAGGAGAGCCTCTGGTGACGGAATTGGTGGCAGTGTAATGCTATTAAACAGGGTCAGATGGCTGGGCGTGCGAGGGAGGCGAGGATGGGGGCTTACGCGGTTGCTGCAACTGTGGCAGCCGAGATAAGCAGCCAGTGCAATGCCGCCACAAAGGAAAAAGATGGTGTTGAGCACATCGAGTGCGATGACAACCACCGGTACGCCCAGACCTTCTTTGAGGGTGGCGGGTATCAAGTAGAAGAGCGATAGCATGGCGAAGACAGCTACAAACATGCTGTAGTTGACGATGCTTGGGTTGCCGGAATAGGCTGTGGCAATCATGTTGCCAATAAGAGACATGATCAAGAGGGCCCAGAGGAACTGGGGCAGGTTAGTCGAGACCGAGATCGGGTGTGGCGCGTGAGCGCGTTCTGGACATACCTGGAGCCCTCTCATGACTAGGTTGAGCGCCTTGGAGACCATGATTTTTTTGGTTGAATGGGCGATGTCGAGGGATGGGGAGAGAGGGCAGAGGGCAGAGGGCGGTTGAAGGGTAGCGGATGGCTGGGGAAAGGGCGGCAAGGAAGGCTGGGCATGTTATTATAGCTGGGGGATGACGTTGAGTGGATGACGTCGCGCATCCGACACAGCCGCTCTCCAACCGCCACGGTGACGGACGTGAGTGGGCTTGTTGATGGCTAAGTAGACTTGTATGATGCGCGTGCGAATGATGAGATCGCCCTTGGACCCTGTGCGTAGATCGACTAGTGGGTGTGAATCAAGACTCCATGAGGCGCGCCCTTGGTTCCGTCAACGACGAAGCAGCAACGGCAGGCCGCGTCGCGTCTGGCCGGTCAGGTGAGTTTCCCAGGGTCTTCGTCAGGCCATTAGTAGTGGCACACTCGGCTTGCATGTCCTACCATGAGCCGCGTAGGGCACGGGACTTGGAGACGGGTGTGCAGCGGGGTAAAGGGCAGCCGGCAGCCCCTCACTTTCCACAACCAAGGGGATGCGCGGTTTTTGTTAGCAAAGACAAGACGGCAGCGCCCGCGTGCGGGGCTCGACCGCACTCGGCCGCGGGAGATGTCGAGATCTCGTGCGCGTGACTATGCAATGCAGCGGGCCGCGGTGGAGGTGGAGTTCGAGGTGGAGAGACATTGACATTGAGTAGTTAGAGAGAGAGAGGATGGAGAGAGAGAAAGAGAGAGGGATGGAGTAGCAGCAATAGCAGCAGCCAGCCAGCTAGCCAGCCAGCAATCACACATTATGACATTGGCACGTTGGCACATGAAATAATTATAAGAGAAGACTCGTCCAACAAAATCGCCGATCAGCAAAAGCCCCCAAAGCGGCAAGGTCTTCTCCGCATTTTCTTTGCGAACCCCCCAGGGGCCGTGCGGCGGCTGCAGCAAAGCAGCAAGCCTCATAGGTAGCCGTGGCCCTCTCTCGCTGCTCTCGCTCTCCCTCTCTTCCTCCCCCCGTCCCGTCCAGCTTGCGGCAGCGCGTCCTCCTCCCCGGAAAGCCTGAACCACCTTGTGTCGACCTCTCTCTCCCCGTCCTTCCACCTCCCCGTTCCCACTCACGCGCCCGCTACGGACACGCTTCCGCGGATTTGTGGGGAAGCTGTCGAACCACCAGGCCCGTTACCCGAAACGCCCACCTCACGCTCCCGCGCTTCCTTCCTGCACGCCCGCAGCCACAACCTCTCGACGACAACAACAATGCCCTCTCGCTGATCCCCACACCTGAAAACCACCAACCTCCACCGAGCGCGACCTCTCCCCACATTCTTCTTTCCCGCTGACCCGCCCGGGCGAATGCCACATCGCTTGCCCACCAAGAGCTCGGGATAGGCGGCGTCGGAAAAGCCAGGCGCATTGGATTCGCGTGCAACTCGCGCAACTAGGCCTTGAAAGCTGAAGCGCACGAGCGCCTGCGGCCTTGAGCGCCCCCCCCCAGGAGTTTTTCCGGTTACTGTGGCAATAGATCTCTCTTGCGGTACGCTCCGTCGCGCATTGCTGCCCATGGTCTTCCTTGCGCTAACGACAAGGCAGTACTTGTTAAACGGTATAGATAGACGCGTTGCTGGTCCTGTAATTATTTACCGTTCCTGTATACTAGGTAAGCAAGGCTCTTCCGTGGCAGCTTCCCCGGCTTTTGCTGCCCTCGGTGTGGCGTGTGCGGCGAGATCTGCGGCCACATGAACACGAGCGCACGCCTGTTTGGACATACTGCCAAGACGTCTGTCGTGGACGCGCCCAGTCCTGTCACCAAAGCGTGAGAGCGTTTGATGCGCTGATGGTTGGGCGCCGTGGTCAATTGACTGGCCCACCGCATCTTCGCATCACTCGGCTGCACGTGGAACGTCATATTCCTGGATGTCTCCTGATCTCCTTTAGCTTCAAGACTTCAAAGCAATCCATGATTCTAACTCGAAACAACCTGAATAGTAATACGCAGAGGCCGGATCCTCCGTCCCGGATTCACTAGACAAGCTACCTTGAGGCCCGTGACTTTTCACTAAAGGCCAGTTTTTGAACGCGCGACACTCGACCTTCAGTGTCGCCTCCACCTGCCGCTCTACGAGCTGCCTCTTTAGAGAGCCGCTGTACACCGCCTTTTCTCAAAAAGTCACGCCCTCACATCCGCTGCGGGTGTTGCCCCTCTTACTTTTCTTTTTTGACAAAGGTACGTCTACATCATATGTATTTGACACGGCTTGTGGCATGCGCTTTCACTCTCGACATCTCATCAGCCATTTTGGTTGTCTTCAGCTCCTCTGAGAAGTTTCGAGTGTATATCTTGCTCACTCTACATTACTACCACACGCAATTGCCCCACATATTTCAGTCACACTTCACTCACCCAGCAAATATCCCACGAAACCTACCGCAAGACGCTAGTCTACTTGTTTGTGCTAGTACTCCGGGAGTTGCGCCAAGCCTGATAGCATACTTGGACGTTGTCTCAAGTCACCGGCGTGTATTTGGCCTCTCGCAAGCCCGTTTATTTCCTCACTATTTCTCTCCTTAGATCCTTTGACACCCTCACTCACACTCTCGTTGTCAAGAAACTTAAGGCAAAAATTGATAGCTAACCGGGAACCTACTCCAGTAGCAGCGAGCGCGTGCTTGGTTTTTTGGCTATATTTCTTCACGAGAAAAAAAGAAAAAAACAACAGAGATCTGGCCCTTCGAAGTGTACCTTGACACCATCGTATCCATCAACTTCGCCTTCGATCTTCTATCTCGATACCATCCGCCTTAACTGGTGAGTACAAGAGCCTTTTAAATCTTTCGACACATTCCTTACGTTGTCCTTTCCGAGCACATTCTGATTACACCAGCTGAAGAGACATGTACTAGAGAACCATATATTTCGCCATCCATTCCATTGACAGAATTATCAAGGAAAAGGAATTGCTAGGGAAAAACAAGGATTATGACTACGATACCATCGTCGAGGAGCGCCCAACGGAACGCTCAACCCACTGCCACTGCCAAAAACGGCGCATCGGCATTCTATTTGGAAAGGACTCTGAGTCAAGTGTCACGCGGAGGAAGCCCGCATTCCGAAGCTGTGGCGTCCTCAGAGGACGAACGTGACATCGTCGTCAAGAAACCGAGCCAAGCGCCGCAACTTGTCAGAAAAAGCTCGTCTCAAGCGATGCCGCCGCATCGCAGGGGCTCGTGGTTGGCCGAAGTCCAGCCTACTCCTGTCGCTAGACGGCTTTCCCAAGGGGGGGTTTCGATATCCTCGAACAATTCGCAACCAACGACGCCAGGAGAACAGGCACCATGGAAGAATACCAAGCCTGCAGCCACTGGTATATCCTACAGCAACCCCTTCGGGACAGACACGCGGAGGGAACCGCCAGCACGTCTTTCAGAAGTATCGCCGTCACCCTATTTCGGAATCGCAGACGAAGTCTATTCACCGAGCCACGAGGAACCAGGAGATGATGGATTTGGCCATTACCAGTCTAAAAACCAACGCTCACAGTCATATTCCGTTGGTCAGATCGATCGTGATGATATGCAATTCCCCGCACCCCATCGCGGTGTCGGCGCACGCGCAAGCTTTCAACCTCTCTACCAGTCCTCACGCCCTAGCGGACTCAGCGAGCTTCGTGAAGAAGAAGTGAGCAGCCAGAATTTAGGTATTCCGCTCTCGCTCAGCCGAACAGGCAGCCGTGTCGAGTCTGGGCCTGGTAGTTCGGCCTTGCTTAAGCAGGCGGTACAGCAACAACAACGCCAGCGTACGTCAAGTGCAAGTATCCATGCAGGTAATTGGGCACCACAAAGGGTGCAGAATTATTCAGAAGCATCGGATTACGCAATTGATGAAGCGGATGACTATGATTCCGATTCTGGTGCTCCCCAGTACTCCAACATGCTCGGCCGCGGTCTTGTTGACAGGCGCTTCAGTGAGATGACGTCCCCTCTACGTCCTGACCCGTTCAGTCGTTTCAGCGAAGGGGTCCGAAGGTCGCAGTGGCAGAGTTCTCTTGGCTTCGAAGGCTCCGACGAAGGCTCACAAAGCCGACGTCACTCATTCGCATTCCCTCGACCCCAGGCTCGTAACAGCCTTGCAAGTTCATTCCCTTTCACCGACGGCACAATGGAAGATGAACGTGCCCCCCAGAACTCACTTGCTCAACCGGTCCAGGACGTTTCCCACATCGGACTTCATTCTCCGCCCGCCAAATCGCACCACCAGACTCTCAACCATGACCAGGAGTACGCTCACTTCCGTACGAACTCTGGTGACGAGGAAACTGCAATTGAGTTAGGCCAAGCCAATGACCGCGCCTTTGCGCACTCATACTTTAGCGGCTACGGCCCGGCAATGCGAAGCGTTGCGGCAACCACGTCTGGCATCCCAGCCACGGCTTCGGCCATCGTCAACCCATACGCAGCACCGACTGTGGCACGTCCCACAAAGCACCTTTACATCGTGACGTTCAAATGCTCACGTTCTGACGTGTACTACATTCCGGAAAATGTCGGTCTTGAAGTGAAGTCTGGCGACATGGTTATTGTCGAAGGAGACAGAGGTCAAGATCTTGGTCAAGTCACGCATGTCGACGTCACGCTTGAGGAGGCTAGACAGCATTTGAAAGAGGCATCCGAGCAGCACTTCCGCTGGCTTATGATGTTCTCGCGTCATGTCCAAAATGGGACCAGCGGGGCAGTCAACCCCAACGGCATGCTCGCAGCTTCAAATGGAGAGCAGCTTGGCAGGGAGGGTGGAATGGGGCCTCGTCCACCTACGCAGGCCCCACAAGTCGATGACCTAAGGCCGAAGATGTTGAAACGGCTTGCTCAAGGACACGAGATCCAGGTACTCCGTGACAAGGAGGGTGCTGAAGCGAAGGCAAAGCGCGTCTGTCAGCAAAAAGCCATCGAACACGGACTCACCATGGAGATCTTGGATGCTGAATACCAACTCGATTACAAGAAGCTCACATTCTTCTACTACGCAGACTGCTACATCAACTTCAACCATCTCGTCACCGACCTCTTCAAGATCTACAAGGCAAGAATTTGGATGTCAGCTGTCAATCCTGCATCCTTTGCAACACCTTCCAATACCCTCAACCAGCTTCCCCCTCCCTCAAGCCTCGGGCCCGGTGCAACATCATCTGCGAATGGGGCTTTCAATAATAACTCCATGTCTGTTCGTTCACCCTATGGTCGAGGAGCGTTTAGTGGTATGTATACGCAGCTAGCATGACCCGCCCATGTGCACACAATTTTTAATACAAGTACAGCACCACGTACGCCCGGAAACCTTGATGTCGGACCGAGCGCGACGCAACAAGAGTATTCTGAAGCTCCGGGAAGATCTCTGTACACTTACGCGTCGACCCAGCCTTACGGTGGTTTCAATCCCGTAGCTTCAGCCTATGCCCCCACTTGGATGCAGAGCCCATCCTCTGCCGAACATGTTCACCAGTACATGATGCGCTACAACAACCATCCATATTTCCAAGGATATCACCTTTATCCTGGCCAGGAGGCTTCCTCGGGCGTTCGTGGCGGTGCTGCCTCCCCACATACCGAAGGAGACCAGAATCTCGCGCAGAACTTCCAAGACCTTTCGCTTCATCCACGACCCACCTCTTAGGTCAATGGCCCCGGGTAAAATTCAGGGGTCCAGCAGAAATATTGCCATACAAGCGCACAGACCTTGCCAACTGTAGAATTTTTGGCGGGACATCAAAGACATCAAATGACCGAGGGCCCGCAGAACATGCCCCGGCTCCTATTCTTACGACACCGCTTCGATCCTAATCTCTTCTGCAGTTTGGATTGTAGACTTGAGCCGGATCGTCTGACGGTCGTCCTGGCCTGGTTATGAAGCTCACACCCTTCTTTGCTATTTTTGCTTTTCCACCACGAATTCCTACTTCCGATTCCCCCAGTTTGCAGTTCCATATTTCCCTCAGAGTTTGCTATCGGCAGGCTGAAGGGAGCACGCCGACGAGGGTGTTTTACGGCTTGTGATTGAAGGCGGAAAAAGTCGGTTTTCACCCGCGGCCTTCCTCCTGCTTTCCAGGCAATTCCTTCAACTTTTCTATTTGAGTACATGCGAACACGGCAACTTGCCTAGAAGCAGCGACGGCGGCGAGAGAGGGAACGAAGGCGCTGAGTGCTTGATTCATGTCATGTAGCTACGATCCCAAGCTAGGTAGCCACCAAAACACGATTGCTTTGCCCGGCGTTGGGTTGCGCCTTCCGCTTTACCTGTTGTGTTGACTTGACGCTTGACCAGCCACCTCACACGCATCAACACACAAACATACAGCATGGCAACCGACAATGCGAGCGCGAGCCAGTTACGTCTCACCCTGCAAACACATATGCACGCATCACTAACGGCAGCAACAGGGAAATGCGTGAGCTTGCAAGAAGCGTCGCGACCCGCATGTCACAATCACGCAGCAACGACGGGCGTGAGACGGTCGAGAGGGACAGCAGGGAGCTCGCCGAGCTGATTGGACAAAGCCAACGGAAGGCGTAAGCACAGCGACAGGCCAAGAGCAAGACGTGGCTGACGGTGGGTGCTCAGGACCAGACAACAGGCAGCTTTCGGCAGCTCGATTCAGGCGACACTGTCGGCTGCGCTGCGGTCGCGACCACCGGAGCTCCCCAGGCTGGTGCCCGAGCAGCTCATGACGGGCTACGCGGAGGCGATGCAGACGGTGAAGGAAGTGCAGGGGCTTTCGGAGTGTCGGCTTGGGCCGGGGTGGGCGTCGGACGTGGGCAAGGCGCGGGCGGCGGTGGAGAAGGGACACTCGATCAAGCGGCAAGCAGTGGAGGTCGCGGGCAGAGAGCAGGCTTCGGCGTTGCATCAGGGATGCAAAGGGGTCAAGAGGCTGAGCGGCGGGCTTTTATAAGTTTATACCTTTACGTCATGCCGGGGGTGTGATCAGAGGTGGCCTGTGCCCTCGGGGACCACAGACAGTAACTCTCAGATGCAGCACAAGCAGCAGAAAAACAGACTGTCATTCATGCCTGCGCCCTCTGACTGTGTCTCTCCCTCTCTCCCTCGCCGACATCGCCCGCTTCCCACGCCCTCGCCCACGCCCTCGCCCTCGCTGCCCGTGCGCCGCCCTGCCCTCTCGCGACTGCACCTTCCCGCCCAACCACCGCTCCAGCGGCACCATGTCGTTTTCCTAGCCACCGAACCCTCAGCCTCATAGTCCCATCACCCACCCGCCGTCGCAATGGTCAAGGCAGACCCCAAGAAAGACTACTACGCCGATCTCGAGATTCCCTACAATGCCGACGCCGACGATATCCGCAAACAGTTTCGCAAGCTTGCCCTCAAATGGCACCCTGACAGGAATCCCGGCAACGAGGCCGAATGCGTCCCCAAGTTCCAAGCCATTCAGGCCGCCCATGAAATCTTGGGCGACCCCGATCAGAAGCTGAAATATGACGCCGAACGGAGAAAGAGAGGCGTCTACGGCACCACGTCGAGAGCGAGCGCGCCGCGCGGCAATCCCTACCAAGCCACTTCAAACTTCCCTCCACCGCCCCGACGCACCGCGCGCCCGCAACCACAGCCTTCCAGGCCAGAGTATGCATCGACTGCTTCACATGGCGCCAGTCGTTTCACAAACTTTCCCAAGCCCCCTCCAACCTCACAAAAGTCCGACGCAAAACGGAACGCCGAAGATAAGGCGAATGTCTTCAAGGCATGGCAGAACATGAACCACCGCCCGAAGGCGCCGTCGCAAGGTGCTATGCCTGAAGGCTACGCGAGAAAATCCGCATGGGAAGCTGCAAATGAAACCAAACCGGGCATGGGACGGAGCAACAGCACCAGGGTACCGAGAAAAGGTGGTTTCGACCCTGCGACGCCGGGCGCCGATGAACCACCAGCAACCGGCACCTCGAGCTATTATAGACGGCCTGTACCTCCGCCACCTCCAAGTGCTACTTCGCAGCAGTACCCTGATCCTCTGAAGCGTTTCAAGGAGACGGTGGAGCAGAATGTCCCATTCGCAGAGGGCAGCACTCGAGCAAGATCGCCCTACAATTCCATGGGTGGCGAAAAGACCTTTGTAGATCCGCTTAGACGCTCAACAAGCCAAAAAAACTCTTCAAAACAAACAAGTTCGTCTGAAGAACAGTCGGAGCACTCGGTGCCTCGTCGCTCCACGGGCCGCCATCACAGTGCCAGCCCGGTTGGAAGGAAGGGCAACGCCACGCGTCCTTTTACTATGTATAGCTCTAGCGAGGATGAGGAACCCTACGAGACAGCGAAACCAAGATACCAGACTGAGAAGGCATCGAGGCCTCAAACAGCGCCAAACAAGCAGACAGGTGCAAGCGCGAATGGGCATCCGACTCAGGCGGACAGCACCAGCAATGCTGAGGGCGCCCGGGCTCCAAAGGCTCAACCAACAATGTACGGCAAACCATCTCTTCATCAACACCGCACGAAAACACTACAGTCACACAAAATCTGGCCCTATTGGGCATACCCGTCTAGCGTTGCACCACCTCCGTTTCCCCCTAACATGTCCTCTTCAAAAGCAGCAGGCCGCGGCAGCCATGATACTATGTCAAACTCATTTTATACCGGCCGTTCCTCTAAGCGGCAGCAGAACAACAACAGTGCTAACGATGTATTCAGCTTCACTTTCCCCATCAACCCCGACACGTTCAACGAGACGAAGAGCGAGCAGTCCAAGAGTAAAAGCACAGACTACATCAACACAACGTTTTCACCAAAAGGTTGGAGTGGCAAGTTCGAAGGCAGTACGGACTACTTCACAGGAACCATGCCGGCCCAAAGCAGTCGTCCAAAGACGTCGCCGGTTCGAGGTCGGCCCCAGAGCGCCGGGCAGTACAAGACGCATGCCGCCGCTTTTGGTGCGAGTCAGTTCCCACCGCCACAGGACCAACCGTCGACCGGGTTTGGGCCATCGGGCACTCCAGGAGGTGTGACAACCCCCGGAGCTGTCAAGTTTTCAAAGGAAACGTGGGTCCAGACATTCAAAGACCCCAGTTTCATGCTGCCGACGAACCCACCGAAGCCCCCATCCCCGGCGAAGGGACCCACGGCTCCTAGGCGGATGAAGCAGCCGAAATCGCGAGCCAATGTAAAGCCGCAGCCAGCCAGTGTAACTGATGATGATGACAGCAGCGACGATGATACTGGTAAGGCGGACAAGGCTGATGTCGCGGACGAGAACGCAATGGACATAGACCCTGCCCCAAGCGAGTCAACCACCACTAACGGAGCAGCGAAAGGACCTAGGATGGTGCCCGTCCCACCCTCGCGGCCAGATTGGAGGAACCCGCAGGAACAGGACAAGACAACCGATGATGCTGACACGATTCGTTTGGGCGATCTGAAGAATGTGGCTCCGTTCACCGCGTCAGACGAAGGCCTTAAAGACCTTAACGACCTTGCCTCTACGCTACCTTTCGAGTCGCGCCCGTCTGCATCTCACCCGACGCGCACCTCGGAAGCCGCAAGCCTCCGGCTGCCTGACATGCCAAAGGCACCCGAGGCGCCGCAGCATCTGACAAAGTCGGCGTGGGCCGAGTACGTGACGAGGATGGGCAGCTACATGCAGCAGTTCAACCGGTTCGACTCGCACATGCTGCAGCACTTTGCAGCGCGGCAGCACGAGGTTGAAGCGATGGGCACGCCGGTGGCGTGGCTGGGAGCAGTGGGCGACACGACGACGGGCGGTGGGTTTGGAAGCTACATGCAAGGCGTCAGGGAAGACGAGAGGGCGCGCATGCACTGGAATGTTGGGTGGGAGAAACATCGTACGACGATGGAGGGATTCGAGGGGAGCCGGGCCAGGGTGCTGAAGGGCGGACTGACGGGCTGATTGTTGCACTGCGAGTGGTAGTAGTTATTAGATGAGTCTACGATGTCGAGCTTGAATACCTACTGCTTACCCTGCGTTTCAGGCATTGCTCGTTCGGGCCTAGCGGTAGATCAAACACGATCTGCGCTGCTCCACAAGTTCCACACGTCAATCGCTCTCGCATCCCGGCACGCTTACGAGTCCCCGACGCCCCTACTACGTACGCCCGTCGCCATGTCGTCCTCTCCCTTTCTCTCCCCTCCCCCCGAAATTCTTTTTCCAATGCTCTCTTAAATAAACAATGTACTCCAACGAAGACTATGGCTCAATACTGCTTTTACTGAAGGCACGCAAGCCCAGAAGCCTGCTGCTGGCCTTTGGCCTGGCCGTCGTCTCGCTCTGTCTGCTTTGGGCCAACTCCTCCGAGGTAGGCAGGAAGCACTTAACCACTTACCCACCTTTTCTAACATCTGACACCCACCCAGCACCCAGCCGTGCCAGCCCACGCCGCAAACACCTTGCGGCCTGCTGAGTCAACCCCGCCAGTGGTCAACGCCACCACCACCACTGCTCAACCCGCCGAGCCCTCCGAGGCCACAGATGGCCCAAAGTTCCGTCTGATCATCCCCGCCGCCGAGGCGAGCCCGGACTTTTGCAGGACTGTCCTGAGCGGCATGCTCCTGGACTTTCCTCCTCCTACCATTCTGGGCTATGATGAGCGCCACCCGGAAACCATGGTGGCAAGCATCCAAGAGCATCTGGAAGAAGAGAGCATCAACGATGATGACCTCGTCCTTATTGTCGACGGCTACAGTGTCTGGTTCCAGCTTCCATCTTCCGTGCTGATAGCGCAGTATGAGCATCTCTTGGAAAGGGCAAATGCTCACCTGCTCGAAAAATACGGCGCGGCTCGCCCTTCAACGCCCTACGACGCTCCGAGGCCTCTGTTCACGCAGTCCGTCATCTGGGGCGCGGATGAGCGTTGCTGGTCGAGCGCTGAGGCCAATGCCACCTGTGCGTCCGTGGCCGAACCTACGGCTAGAAGAGGAGGCAAGCTAGAGGGAGACAGTACCTTCGAGCGCAAATATCTCACTTCAGGTACTGTGATGGGTCCTGCCCGCGACCTACGTGCCATTTTCTCTGCTGCAAAGATGCAAGGTCCCGACAGCAATGGGAACCGTGATATGCAAACCATGTTTGCCACGCTCTTCGGCGAACAGCAACAGGCTCGAGAGCAAATCAGGCGCGAGAATCTGGGCACTGCTGGACGATGGCGCGAATGGCTGGTCCAGCAAGTCCGTGGTCCATGGATCAGTTCATCCCGGCTGGACCACGCTACGAACATGACCATCGTCCCAGGCAGGCAGTACGAGTATTCGATGGGCCTAGACAACAACGGCTCTCTCTTTCAAACCATGACGCCTCCGCACACGTTCAGCGGCAATATTCGTTTTCTCCGGTACAATGAAAGCGTACTGTACAACGCCAGCGATAACTTCCCTTCTGCTCTCGACGTCCATGGTTCTCCCTTCGCGCTTTCTGCAGGGGACGCCGAGTCTGCTGCCATTCCAAACAACGAGCCAAACGGATTGGCCATTGATCCAGAGCTCGATGCCCTTCCCTCTAGTGAGCAACAATGGGCTCTGCTACCACTTGCGCACAACCTGCGCACCGGCTCCGTGCCCGCAGCACTCCACTTCCCCGCAGGTATGCCGATGAGCAGCAGCAACGGCGCAGACTACGGCGTCGACAGCATCCAGTACCTGGACCCGCGCGAGGTGCTGTGGCCGCACCTCTGGTTCTACCCGCACGCGCGCGCTCTGCTGAGGCGCTACATGCGGCAGAGCACGGTTGGCGAGCTGGAGGACGAGGTCAACGCCCACAGCCGGTGGTGGCGCGCCAGCGACGTGCGCGGCGGGCGTGGTGGCGTCTGGACTGACAATGCCGAGTGGTTGGCATGGGGCGATATCTGCGCCGGGTACGAGAGCGAGGTGTTTGGAGACGGAAAAGGCGTTTGGATGCAAGAGATGGAGGAGAGGGTCAGCTATGAACCCTGGGATTAAAGACGATGTTTGAGGGTCGTGAAGGCGCTGGAGCGGCCACTGGCATTTTCCTTCCAGCTCGCGGCGTGGTTCCTTGGGGGCATCGATTAGGTGATTTGCTTTTGCTGGCGTTGAATGATACCGCGACAGGTCTTGGGAGTATCTGCTAAGATCCACTTAAATGTGGGGAAGACGGCGTTTCGGGAGACTCTGGAGATGATCAATGAAGGCTAGCGAGATATATATAGTGATAGTACATAGTAAAACTCAGATATATACATACTTAAATTTGACCCCAGTGAAACCAGCCAAGTTCGTCTGGTTTGCGATATTACGTGTAGCTTCGCCAGTAGGTGAAAATAGCCCTTTTTCGTGATATTCTAGAAGTTTCTTTCTGCTATTATTAGATTCTGTGTCAACATGTTAAAAGAGCTTCTGTCGGTCGAAAATCGACGTTTTTTGTTGTATGCAAATCTAAGCCTTTCCCATAACTATGCGACGAAGACAGACACGACCTGAGTCGTCCCGACCTCGATACTAAGTCGCTGGTTGCGGCACCAATGTTGGATTTCATTTCTCTTTGGGATGCCGCTGACTGGATGAGGAACAAACGAAAATCAATGACAGGAGGGTACCAGTGTATTATAAAATCCCCCCCC